ATGTAATTCATGTTGGTCTTCAATTTCAGATCCTTTTGCCTCAGCATCCTGAATGCTGGGATTACAGGTGTGTACTACTACATTGGCTTTCAGAATGAATTTCTAAAATATTATAGGTTTTAAAAAATCAGAACAATGGCAACGCTATTATCATACCTAAAAAAGAAAAACATTAACTCCTTAGAAACAAATGTCCCAATTGTTTCATGTCTTTTTATAGTTATTTTAGACAAAAATCCCAACAATATATACATTTTATTTAACATGCTTCAAATCCATCATTTCAAGGAATCCCTGTAATTTGCTTATTAAAAACACTGGGATCTCTGGTAGAATTCTCTAGTTTGTGGTAACTGCAGCATATGGTAACATTTAGAATGTTTTTCTTTGTATGTAGTAGTTTTAACTATAAACGATCAGAGTCAGTTTTAATTTTTGAAAGGATGCTTCATGAGTGATAACATCTTCCCTCACTGAATGGAAAGATAAGAATGTCTTTTTATTTAGGGTCTCACAATCGCTCAGCTTGCTTGCTAGGCTGGTGTTCTATCACTTGAATCATAACTACAGCCTACCTTTATGCTGGTTATTTTGGAGAAGGTGTCTTGTAAACGTTTGTGACCGGACTGCCCTTGAACAACTTCAGCCTCCTGAACAGCTAGGATTACAGGTATGAGCCACCAGCACCTGTCATTATTGTATTTTTGTGGTGTGAAGATGATTCGTCAATGTAGTCAAGTGTTAGCTCAGCCCATTCAGCAGAATTCACCAGCTTTCACCTGATAAGACTTAGCAGCCATTGATGATCCAATCTGTCATTAAGGCTTTGTAAAATAATACTACTTGTTTTCATTCTTTCTCTTTCTCTTCTTTCTTTCTTTCCCATCCCTTCCTTCTTCCCTCTTCCTCCTATTTTTCTTTCCTGACCTTTCTTTGCTGGAGATCAAGACACAAGGCTTTGTGCATACTATACATGTTTGGCTACTGAACTACATTCCTTCTTTCTTTTATTTTTGAGGTAGGGTCTCTGGCTATATAGCCTAGAATTGCCTTAAACTCACAATCTTTCTGTCCATTCTCTCAAGTGCTGAGATTATAAGCAAATACCACCATCCCTGACACTGCTTTTAAAAATCAGTTTTATAATGGTATAATTTATATACAATAGATTTTATTGTTTCAAGTGGACAGTTTTATGGATTTTGACAAATGTATGAAGTCACATAACTACTACCACAACCTGCTATAAATCCTTTCCTCCAACTTTCTATCTCCTAGCAAACAGTGATCTGTTTTGGGTTTTAGAATGCCACATAAATGGAGTCATACGCTGCGTCATGTTTTGTGTCTGGCTTCTTTCACTTAGCACAATGCTTTCAAGAGTCACAAATGTAGCATGTATCCTATTTCTTTTTGTTAAGAAGTACTAGGTTTGTAGATAGAAAATTGCAGTCTGTTTATCTATTCATCAGTTGATAGGCATGTGGGTAGTTTCTAGTTTAGGGTTATTATGAATAAAACTGTCACAACACTATAATACAGACTTTTATATGGATTCAAGTTTTCAACTCTTTTTGGTAATTTGTTAAAAAGAAGATTCTGTATGTTATGTATTTGTAAGAAACTGCTAACCTGTTCTCAGTGGCTATATGACTTTAACTTTTCTACCAACAATGGTTCCATACATTCTTCTTTACTCATAGAAAACTCCCTTAAAAAAAATTATCACCATTTTAGCAAGTGCTGTGGTTAATAACTGTGGTTTTATTTGGCATCTTTCTGATACCTAATGCTTTGAACATTTTCTATAGTATTTATTAGCCAATCCTATATTTTCCTTGAAGTATCTGTTCAACCTTTCTTTCTGTTCTTAAATTGGATTGTTTGCCTTATTAACATTGAGTTAACAATCTTATTCTGTAATCCTTCTACATACAGTTTTTTTTTCTCCTCATGTTTCAGTCTCTACAATGCTAGGATTATAGGATGAACCATTATGCTTAGTCAGATATACTCTCTTATAAAGAAGTTTTATTTCATTATCTGGTAATCTGAAGGATAAATGTTGTTCCTATTCACCAGTTTTGTGAATAGTGACTTGTTTTCCTCAAATTCTTCAGAAAGAACTGCTGTTATGATTGATTAACCTTATGACCCTTAAAGTAGTTTAGGTGTCTTAATATTAGCGTTTTGGTGTTTGTTTTTTGTAATGGGATTTAAGCTTAATAGGCAAGTGCTATCCCACTTAAGCCCTACTTCCAGCAAATTTTGCTTTAGGTTATTTTTCAGATAGGATCATATTTTTTTTGCCTTAGCTAAGCCTCAGAACTCTACCATCTTACCTATACCCTTCTTCCTAGGTCAGATGTAAGTCCAAGCTACCACACCTAACTGGTTTTGTTCAGATGGAGGTCTTACTTTTATTGTTTTTGCTGTCATAATTTGGTATGTGAGGGGAAACAAAGGAGGAGGCTACAATGCTTGATAAGAAATGTACTCATTATATTGTCCATGTAATTGTAACCCCTCTGTACAGTATTTTCACAATAAAAAAATTTAAAAAATTTGAAAACAAAAAAAAAATAATTTGGTATGTGATTATGTGGAGGGTTGTTGGCTGACTTTTATCCACAAACTTCCTAATCTCCACCGAGTTTCTAGGATTATGTCATTCTCTAATCATAGTTTTGTATTTTTTGATAATCCAAATATTCTTTGACTAGTGGGAGGCCTTTCAAGTTGGCTCCTAAAACTTTCTAACCTGATTATATTAGTCTTTGACAGTTTCTTTGTTTATGAGTGTGCCAAGATTTTCTAGCTCCTCTTCTACATTTCTATGTATTAAAGAGTTTGGCTTTGCCTAAATCAGGGTTGATCTTTGCCCTTCACTCCTAGAAGGCAATCTATATCATGCTGATAGAAATGTCTTTTTTTAGGGTGGGGTTGTTCACAACTTAGTCTCAGCTGAGGGCTGACTATGCCAGAGGGACCAACCATGTGATTCAGGGTAAGAACAACTTTAGGCTACTTGATACTGATCAACCTGGAAACCAAGATCAACGATGTAAACAATCAATCAAGCAAACAAGTATATCCACATATTGGAGTCTCAATAAAAACTGAACACTGAAGTCCAGGAAAGCTCCTCAACAACATTCCATATACAAACATCTATCACAGCGGTCTGTGATTCCACAGGTGAGAAAACAACAGAGGCTCCCTGTTTTGATTTCCTCAAGACTGCTTTCTGTCTCTTATTTTTCTAATTTCAATTTGTATCCTTACCCTGTAATAATCTGCAACCATGAGTATAAAAGATTTCAGTGAGGGGGCTGGGAAGGTGGCTCAGTGGTAGAGCGCTTGCCTTGCATGCATGAGGGCCTGGGTTCGATTCCTCAGCACCACATAAGCAAAAAGAAAAAAAGCCAGAAGTGGCGCTGTGGCTCAAGTGGTAGAGTGCTAGCCTTGAGCTGAAGAGCTGAGGGACAGCGCCCAGGCCCAGAGTTCAGGCCCCACGATGGGACTCCCCCCCCAAAAAAAAAAGATTTCAGTGAATTGAGTGAGTACTTGTAGTGAACTAGTAAAGCTGAAAGTAGTTTTTGAACGCACAATCTGAACTTGTAGTAGGTTAAGAAGTGAAGGTTGTCTTGGGTCTTGCAAACATTAACTTTTTCAGTTTGCCTAAATTCCAAGAATTCCTTCAGATTTGCAATCAGCTATTATTCTAAGGATCCCTGTCATATTTCAGTATGAAATGGTATTTATACAATGTATTTGCTACTGAGCAATGTGGTTACTGTTTCTGGGGTTTTTCTATGTACCAGAACTAAGAAAAAGCTTTGTCTCTCAAATCTAGCAGAACTTTATATCAACATTTCCAATCCAAATTTAAAATTATAGCCAAGTTTTAGTTCTTTGCTTTTGTATCTGAATCTCTTTTTCACAGGAAGTCATGGTATTTATATTAAGAAATAAATTGGGGCTGGGAAGGTGGCTCAGTGGTAGAGTGCTCGCCTTGCAATGCATGAGGCCCTGGATTCGATTCCTCAGCACCACATAAGCAAAAAGAAAAAAGCCGGAAGTGGCACTGTGGCTCAAGTGATAGAGTGCTAGCCTTGAGCTGAAGAACTGAGGGACAGCGCCCCGGCCCTGAGTTCAGGCCCCACAACCGGACTCCCTCCCCCCCCCCCAAAAATGAAAAAAAGAAATAAATATTTTATTGTTTTGTCTTATAATATTTTGAGGACATCAATATTAATATTATGAGTTCTTTTCTGACTTTTTGTAAACATAGTCATATTTCAGATTCCTGTAAGAAGCAGTTTCTCTGTGACAAAAATATCCTCTTAATGGATAATTTAGATCTATTTGTTTCATTTTTAGAGATTAATTTTTCTTTACAAAATTAAGTATGATCAGAAATCTACTTTCTACTCTTTCCCCATCTACTCAATTTTAAATAGTCTGCACTATTCCAATGTAGATAAAAGATCTAAAGTCAGTACCTTTATTCAATAGTCTACTGAATGCTATTACTAAAGACATGTCTGAAATAGTAAAATTAGTTCTTAAGGTTTAAATCCTTCCTTTGTTTATATTGTTAAGTTTAAACAAGTTCTACTTTGTAGAGGAATTCTCAAGTTAAACTTTAGCTCTATGACTGAACTGTACATAACTAAAATATGATAAAATTAAAAACAATTTAAAATTTACTAAGAATTATAATTAAAACAAATTTGAAGATGATGGACACTAATAAAATATTGTTCTCACACAAGTGATACCTCTTTTTAGAATCTGTGAGTTAAAGTGATCAAAAACCTGTTACCACACATTTTCTTCACACCCCACTACTCTAGAGCACCTCAGCATTTGGCCCTCAGCAGCATTCTTATTCCACACTCAACTCTGGGTTTTATGTTAGAGTCATATACTGATGTCTACACTCAAGGCTTTTCAATATTTCTTTAAGTTTTATAAAAGATTTCTCAAGAACTTACCAACCCATAGGTCCCATTGTTTCTGCTCTAGTTTTCCCACGTTTTGCTTCCTTTAACAGCTCCTCTATAGCTTTCCTGATGGAAAAAAGGAAGAAATTAGAGATGCAGCCACATACTCTTAGGAAAGGAAATTATTTCTAATGTATATGATTTTCTAGGGCAAGATTTTTTTTTTTTTTTTGGGTCCGGTCGTGGTCTCTGAACTCTGGGCCTGGGCGCTGTCCCTCAGCTCTTCAGCTCAAGGCTAGCACTCTACCACTAGAGCCACAGCGCCACTTCCGGCTTTTTTCTTTTTACTTATGTGGTGCTGAGGAATCGAACCCAGGGCCTCAGGCATGCAAGGCAAAGCGCTCTACCACTGAGCCACCTTCCCAGCCCCCAAGATTTTTTTTTTTGATGGTCAACAGCTTCAAATACAAAAATGAAAGAGAAAAACTTTCATTTTAAGGAAAATAAAACATTGAAAATAAGATGAGAAAAATATGACTAGAAAAAACATTGAACTAGAAATGTCTGCGAAGTTATGTATCTTTAATTCAAGGATTGTTTCCTATCCTATTTCTTTGAAAAATAACCAGAGATATGAACAACCAAATATATATATAGATATGTATATCTCTATTTAACGTTAGAATTAATTATTATTTACTTGAAGAAATACCAATTAACCAAACAATGATAAATGGTTCTGTCCACCAAAGATTGAGTGAGGAAAAAAATGAGTAGTCACTTCTCTACTAATGGCGACTAAAGCAATATCGCAAGAACAATCTGACACCAAGATAAAAAGCTTTAAGAACTGTATAGCTGTACATTTTCTGTATAGCTGTATATTTATTTACTGTATAGCTGTATATTTTCCTAAGAAAATATTCAAATAAGTATGTAAACCTATATGTACATAGATATTCATAAAACTACTTGTTAATAGTAAAAGAAAAAGCAGATAAATATTTATCAATAAAAGATGGGTTAAATGAATCATACCATATTCATTTAAGTGGAAAATTAGACAGCCATTAAAAATGAAAATAAAGCCAGGTGATGGTGGATTGTGCCAGACAGCTACTCAGGAGCATGAGATTTGAGATTGTGGTTCAAAGCCTGCCTTAGTAGAAAAGTCTGTGAGACTTTTGACTCTGATCTCCAATAAACTACTGAACTTACCCACCCCCAACAACAACAACAAGAACCCAGAAGCAGAGCTGTGGCTCAAGTGGTAGAGTGCTAGCCTTGAGCAAAAAAAAGCTCAGCAAGAGTACCCAGGCCCCAAGTTCAAGAAGACAAAGAAATTAGTAAGAGAAGAAAAATAATATATAAAGCTGGCTATAAAGTGTACAGATAATCCTATTTATGTTTTGGGTGTTTTTTTCTTCTTATCTAAATCTTCTATAATGAATATGTATTATCAGTATACTTTCTTTCTGAATCCCAGAAAAGTTATCCAGTTATCTATCTATCTATACTAAGCAAAAGGAAAGAAATGTAAATATCACCTGATGTGGAAAAAATAACTTGTATTGTCAAAGCTCATAGAATTCACAAATTGTGTAGACCATGATAATGACAATTTGCCTTGTGAAGGTTAAAATGTGTTCGTGACTTTAACTAAGTATCACTATTCCAGAATACTGTGAAATATGTGAAATTTATGTAATCACTTAATTAAAGAAAAAAAGTGAGAGAAGGGATGGGTTAGGAGAGATGGGTGACAATGTTGTAAGACACTTTGTACTTATATACTGTTTTGTAGAATAGGAACATTTTTGTACAACTACTTAAAGATAATAATAAAAGACTCGATTATACATAAACTCCCGTAAAAGATGTTGTGAGTAGCAATATAGAAAGATGACTATCTCTCACTTAAATATTGTTGTGAGAGATAAATATTAAAATTAGGAGGGTTTTGGATAAAATGGTGGAACAAAGGCTTCTTCCACATGATTCCATGAATGAGAAGACCCAGAGTAACAAAAGGAAGACAAGATATCAAAGAAAGGAAAAGATGAGGAGAATCACAAGTCACTGAAGTGGTGACAAGACAGCTGAAGAGAGAAACAGAAATACTATGCAAAGAAAAGAAAGCTTGTAGCAGCCTGCAGGTTCCAGCTCCAACCCTGGCCAAAAGCACAATGTAAGCCAGGTAGCACTGTTAACAACAGATTTGCAGTCCTAAGTGCAGGATAAACACACCATTCTTGTAAGCTTTAAATCCAGGGGAGGGATTTGCGTGTGATGTGACTTCTCCTCTGTGTGTAGACTAATATTGGAGAAGAAATCCATTTCGTTGCTCCTGATAGCTTGAAAAGCTATATCCAGGTATCATCTTAAGAGAGTGCCTATTATTTGAGATTGAGCAACTTTGGGAGAAATCAGAGCCTGAAAATATCTTCCCACCGTGTTGAGGTGGGACATACCTACAAGAAGCAGTTGTACTCATGTATATATGTATGTGTGTTACAGAGAGAAGTCAAGTATGGACCCACTAAGAAATTTTGGCAGCAGAGAGCTGCCATTGTGAAGGATGTAGAACTGGTGGCTCCATCCTCTGCTGAGGAATGAGCTCCATTAACTATGGATCTCATTTAGAGTCTGAGTGATCCAAACTTCAGCCCATGGCCAGCAGACTGTGGGCTTCTAGGGCTGCCTGACTGCCGTATGTGGTTTGCTGCTGGGAAGCAGTGAGACCTCTGAGACCAGGTCCAGGTGACTGGTGTCTTTACCTGGCCTACTTCTCTGGCTGAGTGATTCACCAGTGATACAATCCGAACGCTCTGAAACAAGCAGGCAGAGTATGCTGGGTTCCCTCAGTTGTTCCCTTTCAGTGGAAAATTTAGTGCCCTATTTAGTTCTCTCACTTTCCCATTCTCTCAGGTGACATGCTAGGCCTTGATGTTTGCTATTCCTACATGTATAAACTAGTGGGCTGCCTATTGAGGCCAATAGCAGCTCTTGATATACAAAAAAAGAGAGCATCTAAAATGAATGTAGTAAGTGGCTTGTGAGCATAGTAGGTAGTGCACCACTCCCATAAAATGAATGTAGCCTTGATATATATATAGCACCAGCCTGAACAGTATTTTTGCTATTATGGTAGCTTGCTTTCTTCTGAGTGGTTCTGGGGATTAAGCCCTTAGGTGATGGCTGCTAATAAATCCACCAAGTAAAACAGGAAGATATATCTACCCCTACAGATGTGCAAACCACAACCTAAAAGTTACATATGAAAAAGCATGACTTTATGATGCCTCCCAAAGCTCACAACTCCTCAGTAACCAAATTCAAAGATACTAAAATGGGTGAAATGTTAAATAAAAATTCAAAAGTTCAAAACATGATCAATGACCTCAAGGAGGATTAAAAAACTAGTAAGGTCAGGGAAGTAAATTCAAGACCTAGATGAGAAATTACAAAGAAATTCAGGTTCTAAACAAAACAAAACAAAAAACCCTTGGAAATGCTGAGAATAAAAAAAGTAAAACATAGTAGTTTAGATCAAGCAGAAGACTATCAAAACAAAGTCTAAGAAATATTACATCCAGATAGCAGTAGGAATACAAAACAAACAAACAAACAAAAAAAGCATGACCAAGACTTTGAAGAATGCTGGGACTGATCAAATGACTAAACTTAAGAATCCCAGATGAAAGTGAAATGAACCCCAAGATATGGGACACAAGAGGTCATTCTTTGTTGTTGTTGATTTTTAATGTACTATGTATGATTTTTTGGTTTTGTTTGTATATTCTTCCCCCTATGGTATATCCCCTGTTGTCACTGTTCTTGATTTTGGTACCGTGTATCTGGTATATACATTTGTCTAATTTGGGGAGGGGGAAGGGAATAAACAAACGGTGAAACAAGGACACAGGATGACTCATTGCAACAATGATACCTACAAGACAGTATATTGGAAATGAACTTTACAACTTTGGAGAGAGGAAGAAATGAGGGAGGTAGGGGAGGGAAGGGACAGTGGGAGAACAACAAGGGAGGGGTAACAATGCTCAACAAGAAATGTTCTCATTGCCTTACTTGTGTAACTTTAACTCCTCTGTACAGCATCTTTACAATAAAATAAAATTAAAAAACAAAAGAACCCCAGTTGGATGGGATGACATCGATCAAGGTGCATTGTACTTATAAACTGATTTGTTGACTGGTAAGTCCTTTGTATAACTACTTAAAGATAATAAAAATATAATTAAGAATAAAGAATGCATGGGCTGGGAAGGTGACTCAGTGGTAGAGTGCTTGCCTTGCATGTATGAGGCACTGGGTTCGATTCCTCAGCACCACATAAGCAGAAAAAAAAAGCCCAAAGTGGTACTGTGGCTCAAGTGGTAGAGTGCTAGCCTTGAGCTGAAGAGCTGAGGGACAGTGCCCAGGCCCAGACTTCAGGCCCCATGACCGGAACCCCCCCCCCCCAAAAAAAGAATGCTTAAGGTAGAAGGATCTGAGCAAAAAGGTATATAAATATGGTCAATGAAATTAAACCAGAAAAATTTCTAAATCTTGGGAGATATATGGATATTCAAGTGAAGGAGCCATTTAGAATCCTAAATCAACATTGAAATATTGAATATACATTGAATAAACATTGAATATTGAATATACATTGAATATTGAATATACATTGAATAAGCATTGAATATTGAATATACATTGAATATTGAATATACATTGAATAAACATTGAATATTGAAAGCTAAAAGAGAAAAATGCTAACTTACAAAGGAAAACATATCAGAATTACATCAGACGTCTCAGCAGAAACCCTTAAAGTCAGGAAAGCATGGAATGATAATACATTTCAAGTTCTGAAAGAAAATAACTTCCAACCAAAATTACTGTATCCCCTAAATTCCTTTAAAATAATGGATCAAGATTTTTCCAAGATAAGCATAAACTAAAGCAATTCATGATTACTAAGTCAGCAGAATATCAGGATAAATTTCAAAGAGAAATTAACAAATGAGAATAAGTCAAGAATTAAACATATTCAATGTAGAAAACCAGCAAACTCCCAAGACATGCAAAGGACAAGAAAAGGACAAATGGTATCTAAATTG